CCCGTGTTGGGGGGTCTGACCCCGTGCTGGGGTCCACCACGAGTGACCCAGAGGGACCCCCCCCCCCCACCAGGTCAGCAGTGAGCCCCCTCACACCTGACCTTTTACCAACCACCACAATCAACTCCCTCACACTCATAACTCACTCCAGGGTTACAATCGCTCCATTCATTACGGCCAACGAAAGCCAATGACCTCTCTTGGTCCCTCCCCGAACACGCTTCCCCCGGGGATTACCTGTGCACGGTTGTCAGGGTTGTTTAATTGACTTCTGGAGGAGGAAGGGGGGATTGTTTTTGACGCGATATGACTGATTGTACGTAACTTGCGCGTGACTGTATGTACTTCGTGTGTTATTATATGCAATTTGTATGTGATTGTATGTAACTTGTGCATAATTGTATGTACTTTGTGCATGACTATGTAGTTTAGTACTATGTTTTGGCCCAGATGGCCGGAGGATTGTGAGTCGGAAATTTGACTCACGCTGTTCACTCCCTTTGTCAGACCCGTTATTGAGTCTGCTGCCCCGGCATGGAACCCCTTACGTAAACAAAACTAGGAAAATGCAAAATAAAATATGCAAAAAGGCTCGTTCCTGAGCTAAGGGGACTGAGCAATGAAGAAAGACTGAGGGGAACTCGTGATACTGGAGAGAAAGAAGGAACATGACAGACATGTTAACGACATACACGATACCAAAGTTGACAAAGTCGACATAGAAGTAACGCTCAAATCAAGAGCAGAACGAGAGGACATAATTGGAAACGGGAAACACAGGCGAGTCACAGTGATGCCTGAAAGAAGTCTTCAATCTTTCAGTCTTTCAGTCTTTCAGGAGTCTTAAGTGGAGCGGACTGGACTAGGAAGTTGCGAAGGCAATTCTGTACACAACTTAAGATGTAAATATGATAAGGAAAACGTATGAACAGTGTCACTGTATTGAACTTCTGATGATCAGGCCAGTGGGCGTGGCCAGTGTGGGCGTGGCCAGTGGGCGTGGTCAGTGTGGGCGTGGTCAGTGTGGGGCGTGGCTGGTGAACGGTGTACCCGTTGATCTTCCTCGAGGCCCAAATAAGCACAACTGGACCTCACAATAGAGCCGGTTGACTGACTGATGACGACAGAGTCACCCAAGGTGGTGACACGGGCACGAGTAGCCCGTAGACAATATAGAGCCTCATAGAGCCTCTAGGAGTTGCTCTATCTATCAGATAGCTCTAGAGCTACGACTAGATCTAGAGCGCACACACACACACTATTATATATATATATATATATATATATATATATATATATATATATATATATATATATATATATATATATATATATATATATATATTAAACTTTTCATATATAACCTAAAATATTCAACCATAAAACAGTAATAAAAGCATAAGAAAAAGAACGCAAAAGTGAACATGAACGCAAAATGAAAAATAAAAATGAACATTTTCACAACTTTTAGTCAGAATTCTGTTGGACGCTGAGACAAAGTTGTAGAGGCTGAGACAAGGTGGTGGTGGAGGCTGAGACAAGGTGGTGGTGGAGGCTGAGACAAGGTGGTGGTGGAGGCTGAGACAAGGTGGTGGTGGAGGCTGAGACAAGGTGGTGGTGGAGGCTGAGACAAGGTGGTGGTGGTGGAGGCTGAGACAAGGTGGTGGTGGAGGCTGAGACAAGGTGGTGGTGGAGGCTGAGACAAGGTGGTGGAGGCTGAGACAAAGTGTGCAGAGTGTGAACCAGCCAACAATGCCTCACCCTGATAAGATCTCTCTCCTGTCTCCCTCCCGCCTCGGACACAAGGCTGTTAAAGCATATTTGTTTAGCGGGAAAATATATATATTAGATGTAAAATGGTGCGACGAAAGCTTTTGGGGGAGGTGGCCAACAAGACGCTGAGAGGGAGGTGGGAGGAAGAGAGGGAGGGGGGAGAGGGGGGGGGGGAAGAGGGGGATGGAGAGGGGGGAAATGGAAGGGGGAAGAAAGATACTTAACCCAGCGTTAACCCTCCCATCCCCCCCCCCTTTTCCGTCTGTCTGTCTGTCTGTCTGTCTGTCTGTCTAAATATTGTGGCGATTGTACTGTTGACTAAGTCAGTCAACAGTCAGTGTGGGCCTCCAAGCGACAGCCTGGTGGACCTCCTGATTGATACCTGGTTGATGGGGTTCTGGAAGTTGTTCTACTGCCCAAGCCCGGCCCGAGGCCAGGCTTGACTTGTGAGAGTTTGGTCCACCAGGCTGTTGCTTGGAGCGGCCCGCTGGTGTATATGAGTATATGAATGTATATACGCATATACACTCAGGTGATGAGCATACATACGCTTGAGTGTATACACACAAATACTGTGTGATGCTACACAATATTCATCTATATACATCCATATGCGCTGAAATACCTATGAAGAACAACACACACACACACCCCCGCCCCCCCCCCCACACACACACACCCCCGCCCCCCCCCCCCCACACACACAGCTCCCTGACAAGAGAGAGTAATCAAAAGTATAGCTGCCAACACCCACACATCGTGTCAGCAAGGCGGACAGTCCGCCTGCTATCAATCTACATTTCTCATATCTAACCTTTATGGCGGCTTGCTCTCCCTCCATACCTCTCTCACCCTCTTTCTTTCTCACTCTGTCTGCCTCCTCAACCATCCCCCCTCCCCCCCCCAGGGGTTGAGATATCATAACCCTGGGGATGGGGGTGTTGAGATATCACTCCCTTCGCTATCACAGGTATGAGGGGTACGGGGTCGAGGGTTGAAGGAACGTGAAATATTTCATCAGTACAACACATATGGTAAGAATTAAGACCAGATTTTTAAATAAATAAATTACTATACACAAATGAGTGACAAGGGGTCATTTAGATAGTGAAGGGCCTTGGTTGGGGGTGTGGGAGACATGTTAGGGGCATCCCCAGTAGAGAGAGTAGTTATGAGGCGACAATATGAAGCCTGAGAGTGAATACGCCACCAGCTACAGTACTGAAAGCTACTGCCAACCTCTGCTACCACAGCCCGGACATCATTACCTGTTACAGCCACATTCCATCAAGGACTTGGGACGCCGTTTGCTGCTGCTGCTGCTGTGTCTGCCGCTGCTGCTGCTGCTGCTGCTGTGTCTGCCGCTGCTGCTGCTGCTGCTGCTGTGTCTGCCGCTGCTGCTGCTGCTGCGACGGGTCTTACTGCTGTACCGCCACTTCAGCATGGTGCTTACCGCCGCCACGTGGCACTAATTACAGGCACAGTGCCGTACAGCAGTCATATACGCTACTCGCAAGCAGCGGTGCACGATGGCGTGACCACAAGAGGCCAGGTGTGAGGCCAGGGACCACGTGTGTGGCCAGGGACCACGTGTGTGGCCAGGGACCAGGTGTGGGGCCAGGGGCCACGCCCCCAGGTCACCACGTGTTCACATCACCATGGCGCCTCAGGAAAGCGCCTCTCCACTCCCCAAACAACACTCAAGTCCCGATTCCCAGCGTAAGAAATAATCAACATATCACTTTATCACAGGCACCTCACACATACCAAGCCTGGCACGCCTCGAGCTCCACAATAATAGGCTGCTGGATCAACCAGGCCAAGCACAACACGATAAAGTTAATGAGAAGCTCGCGCGACCCACTATCACCAAAACAGCTTCCCTTGCCACCGCTCACTACCAGCTCACACAAGCCATATATATATAATGTCAACAAGGGGAAGCGAGTCTAGCCAGCACACACAACACTCCTTGACTGAGGATCTCATGTGGTATCACCACCTTATCTCCACTATCACACACTTATCGCCTGCCACCCTCAGTAATTCACCACGAAATTGCACAGTGGCTAAAACAACAACTCCAATACACAACCATACAGCTATCGTAGACCAACCCGTTCTCGCAAATTCGTAAAGTCAATATTGACTTATTAAATTTGCGAGAACGGGTTGCGTAGACTCATTTGGGAACACTACACCAGAAATCACAATTACGTGATGCATCAAATGAACAAAATATATTTTGACCATGTCGTAGCTCATCAGTCGATTAAGGCAGCGTCTGGGACGCTAAGGACGCAGGTTCGAATCCTCGTCACGGCCCTTGTGGATTTGTTCATTTTGGAAATCGATGGGAAGGGAAGGGAACTATCAGGGGGGAAAGCGCCAAGCCATTACGACTATCTAGCACTAGGAAGAGGGTTAGGATAAGGATTTGGGATGGGACGGAGGGTAAGGAATGGTGCCCAACCACTTGGAAGGTCGGGCTCGTCTAAATCTTCAATCTCGTACACTAGGATGGTTTTCTTTGTATGTGAAGAGGCCTGACAGCTCAGTGGACAGCGCTTCGAATTCATAGTCTTGAGGTTCCGGGTTCGATTCCCGGTGGAGGCGGAAACAAATGGGCATTGTTTCTTTCACCCTGATGCCCCCTGTTCACCTAGCAGTAAATAGGTACCTGGGAGGTAGACAGCTGCTACGGGCTGCTTCCTGGGAATGTGTAACAAAAAGAAGGCCTGGTCGAGGACCGGGCCGCGGGGACGCTAAGTCCCGAAATCAAGATAACCTGAAGACGAGTTAAAATATCGGAGATATATATAAGTAGGAGGTAAGAACGTTGTTCCACTGAGACACGACACTTGTTAAACCTGAAGAACCTGGTCAGCTTGTTACCTTGTAGACCATTGGTCCAGCCCCTGAGATCATTGTGTTAACGTACACCAAGACTGTTAATGGGGTTGTTAGTGTGTATCTTAACGATATTACTAGTTCATGATTTAATTGAGTTAAATATCGGTCAGTGCCTCAGGCACTACCATCACAATCCATCAATGCCCCAGGTTGGTATATATATTTTTTTGTCAACGGCACCTGTGGGTTCCTGCTTCCCTCCCGTCTCGGGACTGTCCAAGTACCGTCACTCAAGACGTTCTCAACTGTCTACTTAAGTTTACCTTTCAATAACGTGTATTGCTGAGTCGGCAAAGTTGCCATTGCCAGGGATCCAAGAAAGGAAGTGCTTACCTTAACATGTTGGGCGTGAGGCGACGAGTGGCATCGTGGAGGGTTGAAGGGGAGTCGTGGGCGGCGGCGCCCGTGTCGAGGAGCGGCGACGGTGGCGCCAGCTCCGACTCCGGCGCCAGGGTGACGTCATCGCCGTCACCCTCGGAGTAGAGGTCAATATTGGCGTAGTCGCTCTCGCTGTAGTGAGACGTTTCGTACCCCGAGTCCTTCGTCAGCTTCCTGGCGGAGCGGCGCTCCCCTCGGTCCAGGGGGCGCGTGTGCGCCTCCGTCTGCACGCCCTCCACGGTCACGTGACCCACTCCGCCATTTATGAGTCCCTCATCGCTGGATAAATGAGCGGGTAGGTTCTCATAGATGTTCTCATTTGTGTTTTCTGGCGAGGGTGAGTGAGGAGGGGCGTGGGGCGAGGCGGGGGCGTGGGGCGAGGCGGGGGCGTGGGGCGAGGCGGGGTCGTGGGCGTGCGGCGAGGCGGGGGCGTGGGGCGAGGCGGGGGCGGGACTGGAACATTCTAGTAGCGAGGGAGAGTGGTCATGACGGTCGAGACGTGCCCGCGCCTCCTCCCTCAGCATCTTGTTATCGTGGTAGGAGTAGCGTCGCCTGCTGTTGTTGGTCTTCTCGCAGAAGCTGTGGCTCCGCTCCTTGTGAGGAACGGGGCTCACGGAGCTGTTCAGCTCGCGCTCCGAGGTCCAGTTGTTCTTCTTCTTGAGGCCCTTGCCCTCAGAGTGGTAGTGGGGGTTGGCGCGCGAGAGTCGCGGCTCCGACGTGTCCCGGGGTCGCGCCCCATTCGCGTCGTCGTCGCGATGGCGCGCGAGGGAACGCAGGAGCCTCGCGGCCGATGGAAAACGCCCACTTTCCCGCCTTTCCGGCACGTGGCGTCCGGTTCCGCCATCACGCCCGTCCTCGCAATTCTCGCGGCTACTCCTGCAATACAACAAAAATATATGTTAGATTTCCCACGTCAATGATGCAACTTGTAGTAAGTTGCTCAGTCACGGCGTCCCGTGACGGCACCAAACATGACATAAAAAAGTATGTGGGAAATGGAAGCCCGTTCGTCTAGTCACAACTAAATCATTGACATTGTAAAATATGGCTCCTATATTATATAAAAATATAAAATATAATATAAATAGTTATAAATATATATAAATAGAAAATAGAAAAATAAATTATATATACAGTATATACATATATATATATATATATATATATATATATATATATAAAATACATGAAAGAAAAATAGTATATTACTATGAAAAATAATACAATAATAAAATAAATAAAAAATCGCAACAAAATTTGCAGTCTTCAAGTACTTGAAGAACAGACTTTGAATCACAGAAAGTGATTCCGTCTGTATTTACTGTCCGGGCAGCCAGGTGTGGCGGCGCCAGGTGTGGCGGCGCCAGGTGTGGCGGTGTAGAGGTCAGCCCGTTGTTTAGCCTGACACTGGTAGTCTGAATGCAAGTATTGTTTCTATATAAAATCAACAGGCTGTTGCACTCCGTCCGGTTGACAACTGGACCGAGCCGTTGGTGTAGACACAGTGCTCGCCAGAGCTTACAGTTTTGGATAGAGTAGAAACAGGGGTAGATTTAGAAAGAGTAGATTTCATAGGGTAGAAATAGCCTAAGCGACTCGATCCCTTTGAGATGTAATTTATTGTCTCCATAAATGTCCTTGAACTTGCTAGAGCAGGCAACTGTTTCAAGCGTAACTGCTCTAAAAAGATTAAGAGTCTCCTTACATTTCTTGCTAATGGGTGTGTGTGTGTGATACTTGAATAGTGGGTGAATACCCTCTTTTTGTATTGACACATTTAGGTATATACAAGTATATGCCTTTGTGCAGCTGCCCTAGACAATATGAAGGAGTAGTGTGTGTGTCTAGAACTAGTTACGTAAAGCTAGAAATCCCCATCACAGAGGATGGTTAGTGACAGAGGCATGTGATCATTAGTGTGTAGTAACACTTGGTGGGCCAGTCAGAGGCTTAGGGCCCGCGCAGGAATATTCCTTCAAAACAAAAGAAACTTGCCTGCACTGGCAAAAGTCAGGGGGCCAGATTCACGACGCAGTTACGCAAGTACTTACGAACCTGGGGGGCCAGATTCACGACGCAGTTACGCAAGTACTTACGAACCTGGGGGGCCAGATTCACGACGCAGTTACGCAAGTACTTACGAACCTGGGGGCCAGATTCACGACGCAGTTACGCAAGTACTTACGAACCTGGGGGGCCAGATTCACGACGCAGTTACGCAAGTACTTACGAACCTGGGGGGCCAGATTCACGACGCAGTTACGCAAGTACTTACGAACCTGGGGGGCCAGATTCACGACGCAGTTACGCAAGTACTTACGAACCTGGGGCCAGATTCACGACGCAGTTACGCAAGTACTTACGAACCTGGGGGCCAGATTCACGAAGCAGTTACGCAAGTACTTACGAACCTGGGGCCAGATTCACGACGCAGTTACGCAAGTACTTACGAACCTGGGGGCCAGATTCACGACGCAGTTACGCAAGTACTTACGAACCTGGGGCCAGATTCACGACGCAGTTATGCAAGTACTTACGAACCTGGGGCCAGATTCACGACGCAGTTATGCAAGTACTTACGAACCTGGGGCCAGATTCACGACGCAGTTACGCAAGTACTTACGAACCTGGGGCCAGATTCACGACGCAGTTACGCAAGTACTTACGAACCTGGGGGGCCAGATTCACGACGCAGTTACGCAAGTACTTACGAACCTGGGGGGCCAGATTCACGAAGCAGTTACGCAAGTACTTACGAACCTGGGGGGCCAGATTCACGAAGCAGTTACGCAAGTACTTACGAACCTGGGGGGCCAGATTCACGAAGCAGTTACGCAAGCACGTACGAACCTGGGGGGCCATATTCACGAAGCAGTTACGCAAGCACTTACGAACCTGGGGGGCCATATTCACGAAGCAGTTACGCAAGCACTTACGAACCTGGGGGGCCATATTCACGAAGCAGTTACGCCAAGCACTTACGAACCTGGGGGGCCATATTCACGAAGCAGTTACGCAAGCACGTACGAACGTATACATCTTTCCTCAAATTTTGACACCTTTGGTTACATTTATTAAACAGTTTAAACGCATGAAAATTTCCCAATCAACTGTTGTTTTTGTTATAAACAGCCTCCTGGTGCTTCGTAGCTCATTAACTGTTTACTAATTATAAACAAAGCCGCCTAAGATTGAGAAAAGATGTACAAATTCGTAAGTGCTTGCGTAACTGCTTCGTAAATCGGCTGAAACTTGCTCGCCCTTCATGGGTAACTGTGGTATTTTAAACCATGCTCTTCCCCGCAGGATGGGGGGGGGGGGGTAGGGGTCACTATTATATTATCTCATTTAATGGGGCGAAATTTGTAACAAGTCATGGCCGCCCTATTTTTTACCTTTTAATGTCCTGTTATCCGTTAAATTAGGAAAATTACTAACTTATTTAAGTCCTTGTTATTCAGGGTAAGTAGAACGAAGTAAGTACCTTTATTAATTATTATTATTATAGCCTAGGTTAAAAGCCTAGGTAAAAGTGAGAGGCCAATATTAAGTCAACATACGGGATACTACGCTGATTGAATATTGTGTTCTGTGCTCACATTCTCTTTAATTAGAGGTGGTGAAATATCCGACCTAGTAAATAAAACATCCTTTACTACTGGTCTAGAATTAGTAAGGATTTGAAACTGATCTAAATTTAGGCCTCCTGATCTGCAGCCAGCAATTACAACTTACTAGAATGCGTAACATTCACAAAAGAGAAAAGACCTTTTCTCCTCATAATTCCAAGAGGCACACACACAAGCACGGTAACATCAGCAGCATATGCGACGCTGGCAAACATCAGAACGTCATTTAGACACTAAAATTAAGGCACTTTCGAATGAATTTACACAGCCTCTGTTAGACAAATATTTTAGTATGCAGCACCGGCCTGGAACCTTATATCTTGTGAAGCAAAAAAAAAAAAAATTAAAGTACAAGTGCTTGCAACAGGATTAGTGCCAGAGCTAAGAGGGTTAAGGTATGAGGAAAGGTTTAAGGAACTAACCCTCACAATCCTGCAGGAGAGAAGCAGCAGAAGGGAACATGATCACAACATACAAAATACTGAGGGGGAACTGAGACGGTGAACAAGGACAGGCGCTTTAAGGTGGGAGAAAGTAGGACGAGAGTGGAAGCTGGAAACACAAAAGAGTCGAAGAAATGTGTTAGGAAATCCTCGAACCCTGTACGAGGTGGTCAACATGGAGGGAATGCAGTGAAAAGTTGTTGAAGGCTTCACGTTCACATTCTTCACGTCAGGCTTCATGCTGAGGCTTCAAACCTCAAGCTTGATACTACGCCCAGTCCCACCCTATGGTGAAGTTATTGCCTCTCTTCACGCCCCTCAACCCTACTCTTCACGCCCCTCAACCCTACTCTTCACGCCCCCTCAGCTCTACTCTTCACGCCCCCTCAGCTCTACTCTTCACGCCCCCTCAGCTCTACTCTTCACGCCCCCTCAGCTCTACTCTTCACGCCCCCTCAGCTCTACTCTTCACGCCCCCTCAGCTCTACTCTTCACGCCCCCTCAGCTCTACTCTTCACGCCCCCTCAGCTCTACTCTTCACGCCCCCTCAGCTCTACTCTTCACGCCCCCTCAGCTCTACTCTTCACGCCCCCTCAGCTCTACTCTTCACGCCCCCTCAGCTCTACTCTTCACGCCCCCTCAGCTCTACTCTTCACGCCCCCTCAGCTCTACTCTTCACGCCCCCTCAGCTCTACTCTTCACGCCCCTCAACCCTACTCTTCACGCCCCTCAACCCTACTCTCCACGCCCCCTCAACCCTACTCTCCACGCCCCCTCAACCCTACTCTTCACGCCCCCTCAGCCCTACTCTTCACGCCCCTCAACCCTACTCTTCACGCCCTAAGCTGTTGCCTCTTCTTGGCCGCCGCCCCGCGCCTGGAGGTCCCCCAGTAGCAGGTCCCTAAGCCTACCTGCTACTTTACTACTTATTAGACTCACTCTAAAGTAGCTTGCCACCTGAGCAAGCTGTTCTCGCGTACAGCTTTCCAACACTTTCATCGCCTGGCTTGCTTTAAAACCAGACTCAACAAAAAAGTATAACATCACAAAAGTTAAAGTATACCCCCAACGGGTATAACCAGGCTAGTAGCTGAGATATAGAGAGCTACACCTCACTGCCCAGTATAGTCACTAATAGTTAAGTACTCATAGGCAAGCACCATCACCTCCACTTTATGATATTTTTTAATGTATAAAAAAAGACTCACAACTAACCCAACAGGACATGAGTAAGGCGGTTCAGCCTGCCTCACGCCTCACACCTGTTGTTTTTGCAACCCGTTCTCGCAAATTCGTAAAGTCAATATTGACTTATTAACTACGTGCATAGGTGATATACTAAACATAATAGATACCCTTAAAAAGATTCATAGAAAACACCGACCTTACCTAACCTTGTTAGTATCTTAAGATAAGCATCTTATTGCTTCGTAATTACAATTATTACTTAACCTATACCTATTATAGGTTAGGTAATAATTGTAATTACGAAGCAATAAGATGCTTATCTTAAGATACTAACAAGGTTAGGTAAGGTCGGTGTTTTCTATGAATCTTTTTAAGGGTATCTATTATGTTAAGTATGTCACCTATGCACATATTTAATAAGTCAATATTGACTTATTAAATTTGCGAGAACGGGTTGTGTTTTTGGGTTGGGGGGAGGGGGGGGGGGGAGGCACAGGGGATGGAACAAGTTTAGAAATGGGAAATACAGTGAGAGTTATGATAGGTGGCGGACTGTCCGCCCAGCTGACACCAGGTGTCGGGGGTTGAGAGCTAAGCTTGCTCGCTCTTATCAAGG